GACAGGCTTTGAGATGGAGGGCGTTGTCTGATGCTAAATCATGGACAACAGCTGCAGACATTAGTCGCTAGCAAAGCCGGTTAAATTCTGAAAACCGGTTGTTCAGAATTTCTCCCGAGTGAGAAAGAAAGAAAAGGTCTCTCACATTCGGGTGTCCTTGTCTTCGAAGTCCCCCAGCAGAGTAACAGGTTCCAGAGGAAACGCAGGGGGCTCGTTCTAATGATGCCCACAAATAAGCCGTCTGCCTCCTGTGATGGCCCACCCACGGGCACGCTCAGTGGAAAATACCAGCTGCTGGCGATGTTCGAGCTTGCTGATGTGACGCATAAGCCCCTGTGAACTTTTTCACTTTGCCAGGTTGTTCAGGTGCAGGGTCATATAATTCCCAGCACTGCGCTGCCCTCGACAGTGGAGTCGTCTCCCTCTCTGGCTCCTCGCGCGTGCGGCCCAGCAGTCCTGCTGTGGAGGGAGGCCGTGGCCTCAGGCTGGGGCTGCTGGGTTCTGGTTCCCAACGAGATGTTTATTAAAATGTGTCGGAGGCGCGTGGGGGAGGACCGGTCCTCTGAAGGGTCAGAGGGCGGCTCCGGCCCCCGCGCGGCTCGCGGCGGGGCGGCTGTCGCTGAAGGCGGGCGGCCTGTGTTGCAGAGGCACCTGGCGCGGACGGCGGGCCGGTGGCGGGACAGCCCCAGGAAGAACGCCCTGAACGAGCTGCAGGAGGAGCTCATGAGCGCGCGCCTGCGAGAGGCCGAGTCCCAGGCGGAGCTGAAGGAGACGAGGCAGAGGATGATGGAGCTGGAGACGCAGGTGGGCGAGGGGCGTGCGGCTCTCCCGGCCGGCAGCAGCTGCTGGGACGGGTTCATTTTCCCCGAGCAGTCAGCTTGTGATGGAGCGTCAGACGCTCAAATGCAGACTTAGCCATGCCTTCTTGGAATCAAAGCCAATTAGTGCCCTATGTACAGATCTTAACGGCGTTAAAGTAATGCTGACCCACTCTCGCATGATTTCAGATTGTTTTATGTAATTTTTTTCACCTGTGTCTAGTGCACCACAGTGCGTGTTGTCTTTTAAATTGTTTTGCATGCTGCTAAAGATCTCGTTTTCAAAAGTAATCCGCTGACTTCTCTGCCGGAGATAGCAGTTTGCTTTCTTGAGGTGGGGTTGTAATACTAGAGACCAGGCAGCAGAGGGCAGTGGAGCTCTGTTGTGGAATGGGTGATGTAGAGTTCAGGCTCCTGATTGATCATCTGCTAATGAAAGTTCATGGGTTTAGACATTTCTAAGATTCGCTTTACTTTCACTTTTTAATTAGCTGTAGAAGCAAACAAGCATTGAATAAGGGATAGTTATATAGACAAAGGTCTTCAACTATAAAACGTGTTATTTTATGATATAGCACGTAGATAGATTAGGTACACAGAAGTCTTTTTATTCCTGAAACAGACATTTCAAAGAGATGAGAACGCCGAGCGGTCTTTCAGAATGCTTAGTTTGCGTATGATGTGTTTGGTTAGAAAGGCCTTGAAATCTTCCCACTTGCTTTTTGTGACGATATTCTGGGGAGCCCAGTAGAGGAGAGTTTGGGGCGCCAGGTTCGAATCACTGCTGCACTATCTTGAGCAAGGAGCTATTCCCCGATTTGCTCCAGTTCTACATTTGGGGACCAGGCAGCTGCTGTGGGACTCCCCCTGTAGGGGACTGGAGTCCCACCAGGGGGAGTCCCACACTCTCAGCTCGCCATGGAAACCAGGAGGAGCCCCAGAGCTCGAGCGTGGACCCCAAGGTTCGTGCAGTTGAGCAGGCACTGCTGATGGCTTGCAGAGGAGATGGCAGACTCGGAGCCGGACTGGTGAAACGTGCAGATTTTATCCTTGACGGACTGGAAGGCTGGCCAGGCTCTGGCAGTGTGACGCTGTGGGTCCCCACGCAGAAAAAAGAGAGCTCAGCGGCTATGTTCCACTGCTCTGTGGAAAACGCCCACGAGCCACGCCAGTCACCCCTGACCAGGCCAGCAAGGGTGTGTGAAGTGTTTGTGTGAGGTATGACAGTGAACTCCCTTCTTATCTCTTCCTTTTTGCGGAGTCTTGTTTCTTTGCATCTGCAGAATCAGATCAGCAGCAACCATCTGCGCCGAGCGGAGCAGGAGCTGAGGAGCGTGAGGGAGAGAGTGCAGCTCCTGGGCACCCAGAACAAGGGCCTCCTGGCGCAGCTCCAGGAGCTCAGGAGGAAGCAGGCCGAGACCGAGTGCAAAGTAAGCCCCACCACGCGCCGCGCGCCACGCCACGCGCCGCGCCGTGCTCCGGGCTTCCCAACAGGCGCCACACCGCGCCAGTAGGGCGCCTGTAGACCCGCTGAAGGACCAGCTCCAGCCCTGGCTTCAGCACAAATCGGTTCACGCTGCTTTAACAAACTGATTCTTAACATGAATTCATCCGTCTTCCTCACAGCCTTCTAAAGAGGGCTTAAAGGACTCCTAGACCGATAATTTATCTTTTACTACTTTGTCAATGTGGACTAATAGTCAGGGTACTTGCAGTGGTAGCAGGAGAGTAGCGCTGAGCGTTAACGTCTGGGATGGACTGCAGTCCCAACTTGGTGGCCACGGGCTTCCAGGATGGGCCTGGGGTCACCAGCGCCCCTCTTTCCGGTCATGGGAGGATGGAGAGTTCACTCTGGGGAGCCCCCCCCCTCTGCCTTCAGCCTAGAGCCAGCGCTCATCTGAGCGTCGGCGGCTGCTGAGCGTGGTTCCAGAGTGACAGGAGCAAGGCCCTACACAGGCGCAGTGGGGCTTGAAGTGAACAGGTGAAAACAAGCTGATCGCATGTGAGTTGTAGGCAACCACATCTCCCCCGAGTACTTTCAGTGAGCTCAGGTTGATTCCCTGTAGGGCGTTGGTGCATTGTATTTAAACACCTTGTCCCTGACCACCCAGTCTGTTGTGTTTTTCATCACTCTCCTGACTGCTGTTTAGGATACACATTTCCTTTTCAACAGCGCTTTCCCCAGAATGCTCCTCAAACTCTGGTCGGCCTTAGAAAGAGCGCTGTTGTGTGTAAGGAACTGCTGCACAAAAACGCAGGAAACCTTACAGCACTGCTCTCCTTTTATAAAGCACCAAAACACAGCTCCTATTATTTCCAGTGGCCTTGGCTCATCTTTGAAATATTGGAACATTCCTGAGAACGCGCTTCCTATTTGTCAGTCCTGGTACCAGCCTGTCCGAATCCACAGACCAGCCTCTTGGAAGAAGGCGCAGGCAGTGCAGACTGTGGAGTGAGCATGGTGCTTGATGTAACACCCAGATAACCCCTTGCACAGACACTTCACTTCAAGCAAAGTAATCTGAGCACTAAAAACAGGCCTCTACTGAATGTGCTTGACTGCCGAGAGGTTAGGATGATTTGTATTTTGTCATTGCAAAAGCTGCGAGTTTCCCAAACAGGGCCATATCAGTAGATCATTCCCCTAATACCCAAAAGCCCAGTCTTAACAGGAACCAGGCTCTTCTGCTTTCTGCTGTGGTGAGAGTTTTGCCATTGACGTTTGAGGAGATAACAACTGCTCGGTAATGGTCTCAGTAGATGTTGTCTAACTGTCCTCAGCAAAACCCAGGCCAGCTCGAGGTCCTCCATCTCTTGAGGGGATGAGGCAATATCTGCACTGCTGGTTGAGCAACGAGGTGTCTTTTTGTAAGGTAAACATGTCACCTCCACCTCTGTGTTAGCAGAGGCCTTCTGTTTCCCCTGTGTATCCAAAAGTCCAGAACAGTGTCAGTGACCATTAATGACCCCGTGCAGGAAAGCCTGCTGTTGGTTAATTAACAAATATTTAATTGCACAGGAAATCCTGAGATCATTTCCCAGATCAGGTGATCCAATCCCAGCTGCCCTAAACTCCCGAGATCTGTCAAGGTTAGTTCATTCTACAGGACCTGATGCTGATGGCTGCTCTGGTGCAGTATATAGGAAGAGCTTCAGGGAATGCGTCAGATAG